ACTTCTCAAAGTAACAGACAGACCGTATTAGGATAAGGGATTAGGATGAGGGCGCCGGAAGATGGAAACCGCTTCATCTTCGTCTTCAAGGTCATGTCCTTGATCGCATGCAGCGACTTAACACCCTGAGCTTGACTTGGGAAACAGCTGGACAGACTGTAAGAGTGGCTTAAATTGGGAGAATTTTTTATTAATTAATTAAATTTTCCATTTTTAAATTCACATCCCAGCGAAGACTCGAACCCCAACACAACCGTGTCGCCATCTACCCAGCGCAGCACGAACTACACGATGAAGAGGATCATTGCATAACAAACGCAAGGACGACGGAAATCCGCGGCCCACATTCGGGAGCTATTTCGCGAAGGAAAATGCGTTTCCGCTCTGGGAAAAAAGATTCCCTTCGCCGTATAGAAAATGTCTTCGATTTGGAACCAGGTGAAATTTCCACCTAGTGGAAATCCGCTTCGTTCGCTCAAGTATTTCTCGAGCCAGGTGGATGTTTGGGTGGATTTTCAACCAGGTCGATCCTGTTCCAAAAAATGGAAACAAGCTTAACGGGACATCCACCTGGTTCCAAATCCACCTGGTTCGCAAATCCACCTGGCAGGTGGAGGTTTCGTTAGGGAGTCGGCGTGACAAGGTAACTAATATCACTTGCCGTCGTGCTTCAGGTTTTATTCAGTTCCGACCGGCAGAAAGGAAAAAAAACATTTCAAATTATTCGAAGCATTTTGTGATGGCAGAATGGGAACGAACGAAAGAATCCACCAAATATTTAATTTTGGGTGGAATGCTTAAACAACAGAGGATATGTGCATGTTGTCTGTCTGGAGTGTTTACATACATCGATATGGACAGATCCAATTTTTTTTTGTCCGCAACATTAAAGTGTAAGAAATAAATTTTCATCAGTAGGAACGGGAATACGGAATCACGTTTGAATCTAGCTCTTCAGTGTTTTCAGGGGAAGTTCAGGGTGACGAAACACTTTGAATGATACTGTAGATATACCACCGTATATCTACCACCGCACAAGATATCATGGCACAAGCCACTAACAAACACTGCTACAGAAAATATAACTCCAGAAACATTTTCGCAGTGCAGCCGAACACGAGTTGATACGGTAAACGACGTGCATGATGCTTTGCGGTAACTTCTGGTTCACTGGAACATTCATATTCATTTTTACGATTCACAAATGATTGTCGATGCTTTTCGGCCCCGTTCTGTTTCATTCGTCTTTAAGTAATTTGGAATCGATGGACGTGGGATAAGTATCTGTTGTTGTTGCTCTTTTTCCCGCCGTTCGGCCTCGTCCCCCCACTCGAAGTGAGAGCCGTCGCCGGTCCGCTTCACCCGCTGCTCCACCACCTTCGGGTCGACCGTCTTGAGGTCGTAGGCCTGGCCCAGGAAGGCGGCCGCGTCGATGAACATCGTCGTCAGGTTCAGGCGGTACAAGGGCAGCTCCGAGGTCTTGTAGTCCCAGGGGAAGACGTGGTGGTAGTTGTGCCATCCCTCGCCGAGCGCCAGGGCTCCCACGATCGGCTGCTCCATCCCTATGATGTTCCTAGAGAGTGTTGCATGCTTTTCGTGTACGATGAACCATCAGATTGTTATCGATCCAGTCTGACTAGGTCAATCGTATCTCTATGAGTCGTACATTGGGTCGTACATCACCTCCTGTTTCTAGGGTTCTGGCCAAAAGTCAAAACACTCATGGATGGTTTTATATTATGGGCTTTTTTTTTTGGTACAGGTAACGAACATTACTGTATAACCTCATGAGTCAGCGAATATATAGCTGAACATTTGGAAGTTAATTTCGAATGTAATGCATTCAATGCAGCCAAACATTGCCTTCATCTTATATATGTTCACTTAGGAGAAACACCTAGCATTATGAGAGGCCAAAGAATGAATCTGAAAGAGCTCTTAAGGAGATATAAGAGAAAACCTTTCGTATGAGGATGATTCATTAAGTTCCTCCTAGACGTTAACACATTTCTTCTGATTCTTCCAGAGCGTACAATTAAGCCTGGCAACAGCAGGGCTTTCAGGAGGTCAAGAAATGTCTCACTTGTCATACGGCTTGGTTCCCCAGAGGTGCGCAGCACTGTTCACCAAAAACGTCCCGTTAACGACGAAGATGCACCTCGTGACCGAGCAGAACCAGAAGGCGACCCACAGGTCTTCTCCCCACAACCTCCAGGGAGTGATCGCGGGGAAGATGAAGCAGCAAAGCGCCGCCAGCCAGAAATAGTACCTGAAAAGCCAGGAGGAGACCCTGCACAATGCATTCCCCCGAATGTATAACTCGGCATACGTGCAAAACCTCAGGTTGTGGGACCGTATCGACGCATGTCACGCGAGGTGAGGGAAGCCCTTCCATAGGTTGACATGTTAAAGGCTCATAACTGCTTGGATGCGTATTTATCCAACTTCAGAAATTTAAAAATACCTTGTCGTGTGAAATTACGACTGTCGTTTATATTTGAAGTGGAAATATGCGATTTAGGTGTGCTCCAGCTGCTTCGTATTAATTTGACGTACCTGTCATACAGCGCGCATTTCCTGTGTTTGCTTCCCATTTATTCCAGTGGAGCCATAAGAGAAGATTTTAGGAGAAGCATAATTGGAATTTCACATTAGAACAGGAATGAAGCACATGTGAAGCACACATGCTTCACAACGATCACCGAATATGCACGTGTTATCCACGTGCCTTCTGAATGTGGCGTTTGGTAAGCGATATAAAGCAATGTTGAAATTCTGTAAGTAAACATTTTTTCATATCAGGTACAATTCCTGCTAATCCTTAAATACCAAGGAAATTCATGAACCATAAAATTCTTACAAAACATTTGCAATAGTGTATCTACACAAAGCTATGAACCAATGCTTTTAAATGTCCATATAAAACAAATTTTTGCGGAGGTTAACAAATTTACACGGTTTACATTTCATTATATACCACGGTCGTTGTTATAGTATTGACATCGGAAGACGCGAGCTTACAGTGTCTACATTAAACCTACATATACTTACATATCTGACTCTGGAAAGGTATTTCTTTCCAGAGTCAGATTTTCCTTCATACAAGACTTTTATAAAGCAATGAACAGAAGCGATCGGTTTCTACAAACTTCCTTTGGTAGTAAATGAGGGGATCCTCCAGCAAATCGCTGCAGTCGATGGTTTGGCCTTTCCTCGTCACCTCCGGATGCTTGCTGGTCACAAGCCACCTGATGTGAGAAAAGAAGAAGCCTCTTTTCGCGAAATTTCTTGGGAGGAGGAGATGTTGAGTGTTTCCAAGCCATGCTTTGCTGTTTGGTTTCTGGATCGAAATGAT